ACAGTAATTCAATGAAAACTTTAATTATTTTCAGTTGGTTTTGTGCCGTGTAGGCTGTATCAAAACTTTGAACACAACTAAATAGGAGGTATTGAGGCTTAAGTCTCAATTCACATTTCGTCAATGTTTTCCACTTCCATGGTCTCTTTTGTCCAAAGGACTCAGCCTGAACACTCCCGCCATGGCATGACATGAAATGTTAATGGATATTTACTCATGAAATGACTCTAACTCAGACAGTTGGAAATGTTTTATTTGACTTGGTGGAAGTATCATTAACACGATTGTGCAGAGTAAGTGAAGAAGAAAATGTAGGTTGATGCTAAAACCCTTCAAGTATGCCTTTATCCCATTATCCAGGTAAGCTTATATGAGAAACAGTCAACCTGAATGGCACCATTTCTTCACCCACGTATCTTCCCATCGAGCTTGTTGTATTCTCTAGAGAGCTATATCCAGGTTCCATGACCAATGCTGATTCTGCTTGACAACACTATTGTGCTTGAAAAAGTATACATAGGTTATCATTGTGTGAAATATTAAAGATAGCAGGAGGTCTTTTATTGGTTAAGACAATGAGATCTAGAATCAGAAAGAAATAGTTTAATTTCTATGTAGTTCTTTTGTCAATTCTCTGACCCTGACAGAAATTACTTAACCTCTATGATATTTTATTTCATCTTGTGCATCATGGTGAAAGGTGTTATACATACAACCAAAAATAAGTGGGTTTTCTTTTTGTTGATTTTTCCCTTGGGTTTTTTTTTTTGTTTGTTTTATTACAGATGGACTAAGAGGCACACTATAAACAACATATATAAATAATTCAGTTATATATCATGCTAAAATACAAAATGAATTGTAGAACAGTGTAAGAAGTAGTTCATATTCAGTGACAGTTAGGAGGCTAGTGTTGTTCTGTTGAATGCTATGCAAGGGCCAGGTACCATAGCTCAGTTCTGTAATTGTGGCACTTGGGAGGCTGAGACAGAAGGATTTCCAATAGTTTTTAGCCAGATTGGGATGCATAATGTATTTTTAGGCCAGGACAGTATGGACTCCATAATGAGAGCCTGTATCAAAAAAAGCAAAAGTAGAATGTTCATTGTGAGCAACCAGAAAGTAAGATACAAATTGTTTTGTATGTTCTGCTTCATTTTTTTCTGAATAAAAAGAGTATTAATTGTGAAGTACTCAGCAACAAAGTGACATGTTAAAATTTAAAGGATAATTTTGATGGCTATATTGAAGAATATATGTCATAATAGAATAAGAAGAGAAATAAAATCAGTTAGAAGAACTGGTAAGAGATGGAGGATCAAAATGGCTTGGCAGTGTCAGATATACAAAATAATCAGTTTATTGATAATTTCCTCATGGAAAACATACTCAGAGTTCATTGCCATCAAAAATAAGCCAAACACATTTTGTATCCAATGTGACAGACTGTTAGTAGATCAGTTGTATATGTGTAAGGAACATTGAAGTGCTCAATTTGGAAGCTTTGCAAGAGATATGTTTTGGGCCTCTAAAGGGAGAAATTGAAGAACAGTTTAGCCACAGGGATCTGATATTTATTAAAGAAGACTTACTAAATATATAAATTTGAGATACTGTGAAGATAAATGAAGCATTGTATTTAAAGCACAGTAAGTGAAATGTTAATTTGTGAGTACTCTGCATATATTATATTAAAGATGATGTTTAATCATGGTATGAAGAAGTATAATTCCCTCTCCCTGCCAAGCACAGGACTTAAGTTATAGTGAGATTACATGTGTACATGTCATTTCATGCATGGGTTGTTAGTGAGAAAAGAAAAATAAAGTAATTATGACAAAATTGTTTTTCATTTAAAAGAAACACTTAATTATTTTTAATTTCACAAATATTTGATAAGAAAATAGGCCTGGAGAGATTCAAAGTCCCATCTATAGTGTCAATAACTGCTCTTGCAGGAGACATTGGTTTGGTTCCCAGAACATATATATGTTGATTCAGAGTTGCATGTATCACTAGTTCTAGGGAATCCACCATGCTCTCCTGACTACCACAGGCAACTGAACACATGAGATGCACATAAAATTATGCAGCCACACAATATACACAATAAATTAATATATGTATAGATATAAAGATAGATAGAGAGATAGATGCATAGAAGAATTGGTCCCATTAGGAATTCCCACACACATTACTCCTCAAAGTTTATTCATGTCAGAGTTCATTAATTTCAATTACATTTTGACTTCATGAATATAATTATTCATGAATATAATTATTTTTATCCATTGCTTAAATTTGGATTACTTTGATAATACTTGTCTCTACAC